CTTTCTTTCTTTCTTTCTTTCTTTCTTTCTTTCTTTCTTTCTTTCTTTCTTTCTTTTATTAGCACTTTCCCATCTTCACTGAGCAGACTATATCCTTTCCTTTTCTTTTGAACATGTGTATAAAGAAGCTCTTTTGTTGTTCTTCATATCATCTGCCAACTTCCAACCAATTTGAACTTTAGTTTTCCAGGTTATCTGAATATACTACTCCTGGATACCTTGATCCTCTTTCACCTCCCATACACGTCCTTTTTTGTTCTCACACCCTCACTAAGCTTTATACAGCCACCATGGCTTCTTCTGCTGTCTTTCCCCCTCCCCCCCCCCAATTGGAATTGTGCTTTTAGTAGCTCCTTTTTAAAGGAATTCTGGCCCATCTTAAACTCCTTTTCTCATTAACTTCTCTTAATAGGGGATCTTACTACACACAGCTCTGACTTTCTCAAAATGCACTTTTTGTGTTTGTAGTTTCTCTTAAAATTAGGAGCTCTAATTATATGTGGTTACTTTCCCCCAGGGTTCCATCTGCTTTAGCAGATACATGTTCAGTAAGGATTATCATGGCTGGGTAATGGGCTCTGAGAGGGGTCATCAGGGAACAACGGTGCTGTGGGCACAGCAGCATTTCTTAAGCTTGGCAACTATAACGTGTGGATTTCAACTCATAATTCCCAGCCAGCATGTAGTTGAAATGTACATATTGTAAAGTTGCCAAAGTTGAGAAACAACGGTTTAGAATCAGCCCAGGCTACCAGAGGAGAGTTCAGTGCCCATGTGAGCACATGTGAAATGTGGGCTGAAGCTGTATTTCCTTTAAGCAGGGCTCTGAGTCCTGAAAAATAATCCCCAGAGTGCTTTTACATTCTAGTATGTAATCACAAATGTAATAAAAGTACTTTTGATTTTTTTTATAATGCTGTATCAGAATTTCAGACTTTTGCCCATATGTCATGTTGCTGATATATAAAGTAGGTCATGTTATGATTCCCATTTTCCAGGCAGCTAGACAATTTTTCAAGGTCAGACTTTAAAATAACTTGCAGACTGTCATACTATATGCATGGTTTGAAAATCCTGTCTCTTTCTTATTTAGGGATGATCACTGCAGTTGGACTTTCAAACCTGCAATTCATAGATCTGAATTCTTCCCGGAACCTTTTTGTTCTTGGATTTTCTATCTTCTTTGGACTGGTGCTTCCAAGTTATCTTCGGCAAAACCCACTTTTTACAGGTACACGTATATCTATATTTTTTTAGCAACACATGCATGCTCAAATTATCTTTATTTATTTATTTTATTTATTTATTTATTAAATTTGTATGCTGCCCATCTCCCCCAGATTATCTTTCAAATAAGAATAAGAAACAGTAGTAGTAGTATTCTGAAACGTGTATTCACCCAAGGCATGTGGAAATAGATCTTTCCAATATTTCAGCCTGCATCACTCAGAGCAGTGTTTCTCAATCTTGGTGGCTTTGAAGATGCTGGCTGGGGAATTCTGGGAGTTGAAGTCCATGCATCTTCAAGCTGCCAGGGCTGAGAAACACTGCTCGAGACTGCAGCTGTCCACCAGGAGACTGGGTTGGTTAGTTAATTAATTTTTAAATGCAGATTAAGGCTGGCTGAGTCAGTATTAAAGCAGCTTCTCAAACTGGGTGCTTTATGTAGCTGAGGATTTTGGAGCTCCACAGATCTGGAGGGCTCCCCAGTTGGTTTAGTTGCAGTTCAATTTATCAGCCCTGATTCCCTCCCTGTGCACCACATTTAATCAAAAATAGGTTTTAAGCATGTCTCCCAGTCTTCCAAGTTTAAACATTTTCTGTTTTTCATCTGCTTTGACCTGCAGGGAAAACTGGTTTATTCCAGCCCTTCTCAAGTTGTCATCCTCCAGATGCTTGAGACATCTGATGCAGCCTATTGGTTTTGGCTATAAGAAATTGCCTGCCTTCTTCAAACTGCTCACAGAAGCACTTTTCTAATTAATTAGAAAGTTAATTAGCCATCTGCTTAAAAGTCACAGTTAATCAAATAAATAATTTCCTGACCAATCTGGTTGCCCACGTTCATTCGAGAAGCTGAGTTTAGGAGGCCAGAGCCATTGGGCAACTCCCCATCTCTCTCTCTCTCTCTCTCTCTCTCTCTCTCTCTCTGGCACAGAGAGGAAAAACTCAGTAATGAAAAGGGGCAGAAAGGAAAGAGGAGAGGAACAGGCACACATCAAGAAAGGGACAAAACCAGAGACAGTAAGGGGATGCGGTGAAAATTGGGGTCAATAAGAGAAGGACAGGCTAAACACAGGGCAGAGAGATGGAGCATCTTCAGTAGACAGGTGTTTAGTTGACTGGAGAAATAGCTCCATTGGCTTGAATAAAGGATAAACAATAATTTTATAAGCCCTGCAGAAGGATGCTGAGGAGGGGCGGAAAGCTGCTTCATAGGTTTCTAGAACTCCAAGGGCCCGTAAAGAAAAGAGGACTTCCACCCTTCTATTATTAGCAGGAACTAGTCTCTGACTTGCCCAGAAATAGTAGGATGCTTGGGGCTGGGGGCAGGGGGGCTTCTGCCCATCTTCCAGGATATTTTTAGCAATGGAGAAATTCTCCCCCACTTCCAGTTCATGTTGACTGACTCTATTGGTTGGATAGTTAGTGGGCTTTATGCACCACAGGTGGGCTGAAGCCCATCCTTTTCCAAGGGCCACTGGGGTAAGAGGTCCCTCAGTGGGGAGTCACCTTCATTCCTCTAACCGAGTTTCACCAGGATTCCACCTCTCTAGTATTGGGCAGTTGGATAAGGAGAACTCTCCCCTCTTCTGCCCTCCCCCCGCCAAGATCCTATAGCTTTAAGGTTCCTTGATGTAGAGTGAGATTCCAGTCTTCCTCTAGCTTCTTTTCCTCTGAGATCTTCTCCCCTCCCCCATGTCAACGAATGGAGATACCACTGTCTTCCCTCGCAAGGGTGGGGGGGATTATGTAGCAGGTGCTTCACAGTTGCATGGTGGGGACAGTGGCTGCTGCTGGGCAAACTGGGGGTTCCAGCCCCGGACGTTTCAACAGAGAGAAGCTGAACAGGAACTCAACCACACCATGCGACTGTGTCTGGGCAGGTGGGGACCGGAGTCCCAGCATGTACAGGTGTTTCTATGAAGTTGGTAATTCCAGGTCTTGGTACTGTCTTAACGATTTCCCTACTTGCCTTTCTACGTATGTTGCATCTGTTCAGATTCTGACAGAACCCGTTTTCCATCTTCTATCCTTGCAGGAATTGACAGCATTGATCAAGTCCTAAATGTCTTGCTGACAACTGCTATGTTTGTTGGTGGCTGTGTAGCATTTATTTTAGACAACACAATTCCAGGTTAGTCACCCAACCTGCTCTCTTCTCTCTGCCCTGCTTCCCCTTCCTCCTGAAGACCCCCTAACGCTTGAGGAAGAATATCCCTACCAACAGCACTCATTAGCATGGAGCTCAGTCCACCAAGACGCTGTTCTGTTTCATTGAAAGAAATGAAGGGAAGGGGTAGTTCCTATTTCTTGGAGTGGCGTTTGTGCAAGGGAACATTCTGGTAAATGGTGCTCCTTAAATTAATTTTGAGGGTCTCCCTCTGTGGCTCTTCATCTGACAGTTTTTAGACATTCAGACTTGGTCTCAATGCCTGAAATTATACTGAAAATTAAAATACCCCAGTACAGCGTCAGGATCAAAACACTTTGAGGGAAATTCACCTTCTAACCTTTGTAGAATTTGCATTATCCAGGTCCTAAACGTGTTCATTTAATTACGTAGGATTATTTCCCACAATATATATACTTAGGATTGCATCCTCCAAAAGCAGTGTGGGAAGAATAATTTCTTAAGATGCAAAGTCCAGTCCTTAATTATTCTTTTTTCTTTTTTGCTGCTATTTTCTGATAAGTGGCATAGCATCTCATCTTTAGTTTATGTGAAACAGAGCTCACAAGATGAAAAAGGGCTTCAAAACTGAGTTGTCAGCAGCTCCCCCCCCCCGCCCCGTGGCACTGAGGTCTGTTGTGTCTGGTGATTGGGCTTCAGTGTTGGCTTATTTTAGTATGTATGAGTGGGCTTGTGCCTGGATCTGGCATGTCAGCCTTGCAAGGTAGTCCAGACAAGAAGCACACCCAGGAGTACTAGCTCTAATTTTATTGTAAGGTTACATTAACAGAATCTTGAAAGTCGGAAAGTACATCTCTTCCCCCCTCCCCCCTCGTCATCTCTACAGCCCGAGAAACTAGGGAGGGTCCCTTCTGAGCCACTTGCCCTGCCCCCATTCCTTCTGTGGACTCAGGGGCCTCTTATCTGACCGTTCCCTTAGCTGTGGCTCTTCCCCCTGTCTCCCAAGGTCATTCCCATATACCATTACATGGCAGGATATGGGACTGTGGGATCCTCCTGGCTTTCCCCAGACCGGGTGGCTGGATTGCATTTGAACTGGGCCCGCACAGTTCATATTCCTTGTTGGGCTTTGGGGTGACTTGGGACAGAAGTGTGCATGGCAGTTGCCTCCTACCTACTCTGTTGCCTAAACGGAGGAGTCCTTCAGAGAGGCAATGGGGGTGTGGAATTGGGTCACTGTGAGCAGTGTGCCAATCAGCTATTTGGTGGTTGGCGGTGTGGCCATGGGAACAGAATCAGTGACACTTAGGAGTTCAGTGGTGCGTTTATGGAAGCAGAGGAGCTGTGGGAGGACAAGCAGGAGGGGTTCCTTTTGGATGGCGATGGCATTCTGGCTGTGTTGGGCTGGTGGCAGAAGGAGCAGGAGTGGCCAGTGGTGATGTTGCTGCGCAGCCCTCCTGGCCTCAGTGGCCATTGCTGTTAGGAGTTTCTAGTCTGGCCTCATGGGCCTTGTCTCTGTTTCTGGTGGTTTAGGATTGGAGGACTTGGTATCCAGTACTTGTGCAGGGTAGTTCTCTTTTTTACCAGCTGGGTGCTTTTGAGTCTTCCCCGGCGTGAGAACTGGGGGAAGAGCAGCTGCCTGGTTCACCTTCAAGTTGGTGGGGGAAAGTGGCCACTCTAGTGGCCTGGTGAGAGCAAGCCAGGGCTGGCGTGCCTTGGTGGGGGTGGACATGTGCATAGGGTGGTGGAGTGCTATCTAGGATGGTCGGAGACACTGAGTGCTGGGGCAAAAGTGCCCCAGGAACCCATGTAGGTTCTGGGGGGCATTGGAATTTGGTTGCTGATGTGGTTGAGACTGTCTGACCTGGAGATAAGCTGCCATGAGGTTAGGAAGGGGAGATTTCTGGGGGGTTAAGGGCAAGCTGGAACATCACTTTGGTGACAGGTAGGAGGAGGTATGTCAGGAGGCTGGGAGGATGCACTTGTGGAATGCAGCCCCATGTGTTCTGCCAGTGCTGAGTTCTGGTCCCTGTGCTCGATCCCATTTCCCAGTTAGGCTGGCCTCTCTGCTTCACCATATACAGTGTGTCGCTGTATCACTGAAACCTGGCTGGACCCTGAAGAAAGAGTTCCTCTCTCGGATATGTACCCATCTGGGTTTTTGGATGTGGCACTAGCTGAGAGCCCAGGCAGGGGTGGTGGAGTAGCTAGGGTTATCTGAGATACTCTGGTGGTATTCAGAGGAGCTGCCCCACAAATAATTGGATAAGAGACCCTATTTGGGGTCTAGGGATCAGTTGAGACTGTTGCTGTGTAGCAACCTCCCTGTTGTGTAGCAACCTCCCTGCCAGAGCTTCTGGACTCCATGGTCCATTGGTGGTGGAACTTTCCAGGCTTATATTCCTGGGGGACTTCAACCTGCCTTCTCTGGAGGCAGAGTCTAAGGCAGCTCAAGAGTTCATGGCCATAATGACAACCATGGACCTGACCCAGGTCATAGAGAGCCCGACACATGACAGTGGCCTCATGTCAGATCTGGTTTTTGTGTCAGGGCAGTGGTAGTGCAATCTGGAGTTAGGGGAGGTCATCTTCACTCCCCTGTCATGGTCAGATCACTCTCTAGTTGCCCTGGATTTCTCTGGTGCTGCTTCCCATCACAGGGAGGCTGGATCAATGTCCCCATGTAACTAATAGATCCTGTTGGGTTCCAGAGGGAGCTTGGGGTTGTTCCTGAAAGTTGGGTGCATGGTCTAACAAAGCCTTGGTTGCTGCCTGGAATGAGAGAGCGGTGGGGGCTTTGGATTGGATTGCTGAAACTCCCCTTGGAGCTGAGGGAGATAAAATGGGAAAAGGGATGCCTAAAGCACCCACAACAAGGGATGAATCCAACCAAGCACGAGTTAGAGCTGTCATTAAGGCCTACCTTGTGGCAGTAAGGGTGGAGAAATACTGACATTTTGCCACCCTTACAGCCTCCATCTGGTGGCCTTGTTCATGATAACCTGGGTCCTCCTGGGGAGGGCTAGTCTGTAGGTTTACTTGCAAGGTTGCTGTGAGGAATATGCTGAGTGACTTTATATTTGTCATATAAAGTCACTCAGATTTGCTCTGAACTGGATTCTAGTCTTAAGTTAGGTCCCATGGATGTGACTGAGGTCCAGTCTAGCTTGGTTACCTGGGAAGAGTCTGAATCTGTTAGTCCTGATGAAGTGGACAAGGTTCTTGGGACTGTTAGCTTGGCTACCCATGTATTAGATCCAAGTCCCTCCTGGTTGGCTAGGAGGTGATGTGTAATTGGGTTTTAGTGCTGGTGAATTCTTCTTTGAGAAGTGGTCCTGCCATCATGTAACCCTCCTCAAGAAGACATTGCTAGACTCTGCTGTGCTAGGAATTTTCATCTAGGCTCCAAACCTCTCTTTCTAACATTGTTCAGAAGGTGGACTGGAGGAAACAGATTATCTGGACCCCTTTCAGTCAGGTTTCAGTCCTGTGTATGGAATCAAAACTGCATGCATCGTGCTTGTGGATGACCTCTGGCGGGATTAGGATGGGGGTAGTGCGTCCATCCTTGCTGTCCTTGATCTCTCAGCAGTTTTCAGTACTACTGACCATGCTACTGATCAATCCTGCTGGACCAGTGTTGGGGGTTGGGAATGGGTGTCAGCCTGTTGTGCTGGTTCTCTTCCTTCCTCTGGGGACAGTTGCAGTCAGTGCTGACGGCGGGAGAGATCTAGCCCACAGACCCTAATTTATGGGGTGCCTCAGGGCTCGAGACTCCCCACTCCTGTTTAACATCTACATGAAGCTACTGGGTGCGGTCATCTGGTGGCATGGGATGAAGTATCATCAGTATCTCCACCCCAGACTGACTAAATGATGCCGTGGCTATGAAAGCACAACTTTGTGTTGTGGGCCAGTTGTGCCCCTTCCTGGACTGGGAAGCACTGCTCATGGTCACTCATGCCTTAGTCATCTCCCAAGTGGACTGCTGCAATGCACTCTATGCAGGACTGCCCTTGAAGAGCATCTGGAAGCTGCAGTTGGTTGAAAATGCAGCAGTGCGGGCAGTATAAGCGCCCCTCTGTGTGCATATGTTACACCTCTGCTCCGTGAGCTGCTTCGGCTACCAGTTTGCTTCTGGGCACAATTCAAGGTGCTGGTGGTCCCCTATAAAGCCCTTCGTGGCTTGTGGCCAAGTTATTTGCAGAACTGCCTCTTCCTGATTGTGTCCACTTGTCAGAGGAGGCATGTTACAGGTCCCGCAAGTGCCATCTGGTGGGACCCAGGAAGAGAGCCTTTTCTGTTATTTATTTATTTAGTAGACTTGTCCCTGCCCATCTCCCCACAGTGGGGGACTCTGGGCAGTTTACATCAAATTA